CCCACTGCCATCATCTTAGTTCAAGCTACCTCCTCCTCTCTTTCTTGGAGTATAAAAACAACTTCCTAAATGTTCTCATCTACTGTGCCTTCTCTGTAGCACCTTCTCCACACTGCACTTAGAGTAGCATCATCTAGTTCAAATACAATGGGAGCCACATATGCAATTTTTAATTTTTTTATTATAATTATTTTGAGATGGAGTCTCACTCTGTCACCCAGGCTGGAGTGCAGTGGCATGATTTTGGCTCACTGCAACCTCTACCTCCTGAGTTCAAGAAAATCTCTCTCAGCCTCCAGAGTAACTGGGATTACAGGCGCCCACCAACATGCCTGGCTAAGTTTTGTATTTTTGGTAGAGGAGGGTTTTCACCATGTTGGCCAGGCTGGTCTCAAACCTCTGACATCAAGTCAAGTGATCCACCCGCCTTGGTCTTCCAAAGTGCTGGGATTATAGGTGTGAGCCACCACACCCACCCCCAATTTTTAATTTAATTTTTAATAGCTATATTTTAAAAGGTTGACAAGAAACAGGTAATTGGTTTTTGGGGTAGTGAGAGAAATGGGTTTTGTTTGTTTGTTTTTGAGACAGGGTCTTTCTCTGCCACCCAGACTGGAGTACAATGGCATGATAATGGCTCACTGCAGTCTCGACCTCCTGGGCTCGAATGATCCTCCTGCCTTAAGCTCCCGAGTAGCTGGGACCATAGGTGTGCGCCACCACATCCAGCTAACTATTTTATTTGTTTTATTGGAGACAAGGTCTCCCTATGTTGCCCAGTCTGGTCTCAAACTCCTGGGCTCAAGCAATCCTACCACCTCAGCCTCCCAAAGTGCTAGGATTAGAGGCATGAGCCATCACGCCTGGCCAAGTAATTGTTTTTATAAATAATTTTAAAATTTATTTTAATTACATTTAATCTGAAATATTTTTTCAAGATAAAATTAATATTTTTAAATTAATGAGATATTTTACATTTTTTATACTAAGTCTTTGAAATCCTGTGAATATTTTACATCTCTACTAAAACTAGCAATATTTCAAGTGTTCAGTAGCCATGTGTAGCTAGTAGCTACCATTATTGGACCATAAAGAATTAGAATGATCTTTTCACAATGCAAACTGATCACCGCACCTCGCCGCAGGTTTAAGCTTTTCTGTGGCATCTAGTTCTTAGGATTAGGATTCAAATGCTTAACATATTCTACAAGGCCCTCCAGGGTCTGTGGTGTGGATTCTACTTTCCTTTTGATCTCTGCTCCTTCTCTCTCACCATCCACATGCCAGTCACACTAGTCTTTCAGCTTCTCAGACATGCAGAGGTTCCACCTCTACCGATTCTTTGAATATACCAATCCCTCTGTTTTGAATGCTACTTTCTACCACATTCCCTTCACCATCACCAGTACCTCCACTATCATCACCACCACCTCATCATTGCCATCAACTCCACCATCATCACCACCTCCATCACCATCATCAACTCTACCATCACCACCACCTCCATCACCACCATCAACTCCACCATCACCACCACCTTATCATCATCATCAACTTCACCATCACCATATCATTGCCATCAACTCTACCATCACCACTACCTCCTCATCATCATCAGCTCTACCATCACCACCACCTCCATCATCACCATCAACTCCACCATCACCATCACATTATCACCATCATCAAGTCCACCATCACCACCACCTCCATCATTACCATCAACTCTACCACCACCACTACCTCCATCACCATCATTAACTCTACCATCACCACGACCTCCATCATCACCACCAACTCCACCATCACCACCACTTTATCACCATCAACTGCACCATCATCACCACCTCCATCATCACCATCAACTCCAACATCACCACCACCTTATCACTATCAACTCCACCATCACCACCACAACCTCTATCACCACCACCAACTCCATCACCGCCTCCATCATCACCATCAACTCCACCATCACCACCACCACCACCACCTCCATCATCACCAACTCCATCATCACCACCACCTTATCACCATCAACTGCACCATCACCACCACCTCCATCATCACCATCAACTCCACCATCACCACCACCTCCATTACCACCAACTCCACCATCACCACCACCTTATCATCACCATCACCTCCATCATCACCACTGCCTCCATCACCACCATCAACTCCACCATGACCACCACCTCCACTAGCACCAGCACCACCTATTATAGACCATGGTCATTCTCTTCAGGCCCCCACCCAACTTCACTTCCCTCACTTTTCAGTCTAGAGATGTGATCTTTTCCTTCAAAGCATGCGGCTCAGTTTGTAGCTTTCTTCCTTCTTGTGTGATTAATGCCTGTCTCTCTCCATAACCAGGGATTTTGTTTGGTTTCGCTTACCATTGCCTCCTCAGTGCTTGTTCTAGTACCTCATATATAGCAATTGTTCAGTAAATACCTTCGAATAAATAAATGAGTAAATAAAAGTAATTAGGAAATACAAAACTGTAAAAATGGGACCTAGAACAGAGGGTGAAGGAAGGAGAAGTCAGTAAACATTGTAGAGTTTGGCAGGTAGAATCCAAAGTAAGGTTGAGGAGTGGAAGTCAATTACTTCTGTTGAGACCCTATCTTGAGCTAAGATCTCTTCTGGTTGTTTTAAGTGTTTTTGTTTAATCCTATAAGAAGTCTATGAGGCAGGTATTATCTGCATTTTAGTCAAGGAGGCTCAGAAGAGTTCACAAACTTGCCAAGTAACATAGTTGGGATTGGAACCTCCACTTGATTTCAAAGCCCACATGCCATGCATTTCACTAGATCTCCATAAACCAACTTCCCATTCTTCATAATCTTGTTATTCCATGAGAGCATAACCAAACACTCAAATAATACAAAAGGCTGAATTTTGTGTTGTTTTTGAGACAGAGTCTCGCTGATTCACCCAGGCTGGAGTGCAGTAGCATGATCTCGACTCATTGCAACCTCTGCATCCTGGGTTTAAGCAATTCTCCTGAAAAGGCTGAATTCTTTATTTTTATTTATTTTTTGTTGTTTGTTTTGTGTGTGTGTGTGCATGTTCCCATTTTGTCACATGGTTTCTTCATACAAATATTGCCCAAATGCATTGCACAATTCAGGTACGATTGCCTCAAATGAGAATTTTAAGGAACAACAAATCTTGCCTGAAATAATGCCATATACTATTTTAAGTCCAAGAAGGAAGTCAAATGATGATTGAGTAATGGCTCAAGTACAGGATACCACTCAAATGACAGTTGATTTTCTTTCCTGTTTAAATGAGGTTATGCATATAATGTGCTTAACAGAATGCTTGACACAAAGAAGGAATTCAATCGTTGTTAGCTAGCATCATCACCGTCATCACCATCATCATCATCATCCCTGACCTGCAACATAGCAAGAACTCTTCGTTGCAAATTTTTCATTTATTTATTGCATAATACTAAAATATAGTATCTTAAAAATATGCTATACTGGCTCTAAAGCAACAGTCTCCAACTTTTTGGCACCAGGGACCAGTTCCACAGACCAGGGAGGTGGGGGCGAATGGTTTCAGAGGCATTAGATTCTCATAAGGAACCTCATAAGGAGCACACAACCTAGGTCCCTTGCATGCCCAGTTCACAATAGGGCTCATGCTCCCATGAGAATCTAATGCTGCCACTGATTTGACAGGAGGCAGAACTCAGGCAGTGATGCTCACTCACCTGCCTCTCATGTCCTGCTGTACGGCCTGGTTCCTAGCAGGCCACGGACCAGTACCTGCTTGGGGACTCCTGCTGTAAAGGACCCACTATGAATCACTGCCATAAATCAGCTTCTGGATTGTCTCAAGGCAGCCATCAACTCTGGCCCATGTGCCTCAAATCCAAAGTTATGTCCACTGATTCCCCGGGCTCAGCACAATTCAGTCATGCCTACCATCCACATTATGGGAGCAATGTAGTGTGGTTTGCAAGGGCAAATGTTTTGCAGTCAGACAGACTTGGATTCAAATCTTAATTCTTCCACATGTTATCTTTATAACTGAGCAGATCTCCCAAGACTCAGTTTTCATATTTATTAAATGGAGGTAATTCTTATCCAGAATATAGTGCCTAGAACCTGGTTAAATGCTCAGTGTTAGCTATTATTCTCAAGAATGGCCTTAGGATTTAAACTGAGAACTTAGTTCCATCTCTGGTTTGCAGTGGGACCAGGAAGTCTAATCACATTGTTGATGGATCAGAATGAAAATAGTGGAAACATTTGTCCTGGGGAAAAGGAATATCATACAGTTACTTGCTCTGCTTGTAGTCAACATTTTATTTTTTGATTCAAGTGGTCACTGCCTTCAAATCCCCAGAATCTACTGAGATTAGTGATGGCCTCACCAAGTAACTAGAGAATAGCAGGCATAGTACCTCATCAACCTTGAGTATACAAGGTTGGGTACAATGGGGTCTTAGTCTACATTAAGTTTTCATTTTGTCAAACTGTTCAGATTGACTTTTAGAAGGTTAGGATGATGCCTGTTGATTAGGTTTTGTCTGTTGTGATAAATAACATTCCAAAGTGATAACATTTCTGATAACATGAAACATAACAAAGGCAGTGTGTATAGTGGTTATGAATAGAGATTCCGAGCCATCTTGCTAACTGCATGATTTTGAGCAAGTTATCGTCTCTGTGAAATGGACTTCATAGGGTTGTTATGAAAATTTGGTGAGATGGCACATGTAAATTACCAACAGTACCTGATGTTTGTCTGTTTTTTGTTGTTTTTCTGTTGTTGTTGTTGTTTGCCATTAAGGGTCTTTTATTTGTATTCATCACATCAGAGATCATCTCTTCCTAGGAAGCTTTTTAAAAATCCCCAGGTTGGATTAGGGCACTCCTTCTAGGTCCCTGACAATTTTCTCCAGGTTAGGGATCCCAAGGGGTTGCTGCCTTCCTAGGTCTCTGGCCTGGCCCTTGGGGCACACAGTCATCAAGAAGTGCTGGGGGGAAGTGAGCTCTTTATTTAGACATAGCTCTGCTGAGTGGAAAGTGGGCACCGGCCCCATTAACGCTTGCTGGCTGGTGGCTTCCAAGCACGCCCCACTGCCAAGGCTCAGCTCTGCAGTCTGCCACCGCAGGTCCCTAGCACAGCCCCCAGGGTCCTTAAAAGTCATCATCATCACAGATGTCAAGGTACGCGTCAAAAGCCTCTCTGTTGCAGTTTCCATCAGGAGTGAAGACTATTTGTGGAAGGTCCCATCTACGCAGATGGCAATGACACAATTGACGTTCTTGGAAGTATTGCGACAGAAGACGCACATGCAAGCTGGCTCAGCAGGCACAGTGAAGCTCGCCAGGCTCCACTGAGGGTCCACGTACTGCCCAGTGATAGGCCCTTGCCCACAGCGAGCCAGTGCGGAGCGGCGGTTGAGGCGGGTATCCTTGAGAGCAAAGATATGGACGGTGCCTTTATCACTGGAAGTACAGAGGAAGGAGGAGTCGTGGCTGAAGTTAATGCAGTAGACGGTGGCAGGGTCAGTGCCTCGGCGCAGCTCTACCAGTTTCTCCTTGGATGGTGTGTCAAAGAGGTGAATAAGGGTACCCTTCTGGGAGGCTGAGGCCACTACAGTCCCTGGCTGGTTTAGAGACACACAGGCTATGTCACTCTGGTGTGCATTGATGGTGAATGGAGCAGACGAGGTGCCAGGCATTGTGCTCGCCAGGTCCACAAGTTGCAGACTCCCACACTTGTGTCCCAGGAACACTAACAGTTGCTTCTCCAGGCTGGGGCAGAGGTCACAGAGCCCCTTGGGGTTGTCCCAGGTATCAAACTCAAACAGCTTTCGGGGATTGTCTGGGAAGGAGTACACACAGATGCGGTTCTTCAGCACCATCACGATCTTGTCATGGCGCATGAGCACAGAAAGCACTGGCTTAGTGAAGGTGAACTCCAGCACCAGCTTCTCTTTGGAGTCCTTGCCCTCCCGGGCATCGTCCCAGATCAGCACTGAGATCTCTGAGAACTTGGGGCTACTACTACCACCCACCAAGACCAGAAGGTTTGTTTGTTTGTTTATTTGTTTGTTTTTGAGACGGAGTCTTGCTCTTTCACCCAGGCTAGAGTGCAGCGGTGCAATCTCGGCTCACTGCAACGTCCACCTCCCAGGTTGAAGCGATTCTCCTGCCTCCCAAGTAGCTGAGATTACAGGTGTGCACCACCACACCAGGCTAAATTTTGTATTTTTTTTTTTTTTTTTTGTACAGATGGAGTTTCACCATGTTGGCCAGGCTGGTCTTGAACTCCTGACCTCAAGTGATCTGCCTGCCTTGGCCTCCCAAAGTGCTGGGATTATAGGCATGAGCCACCATACCCAGCTGACCTTTTATTTAAAAGCATTTGTTTCTAAGATCATAATTCAATTGCCAGGAAAATTACCAGGTAATGATTGCCTCTAAGAAAATCAGTCCCTAAACTTGTCCCATCTCTAGCTCACTGAGGGTATAATCCCCAATGTAGACCCAATATGAGATCACTGACAATTCCCTTCATTTTACTCTTGAAGAGAAAGACAGAAGTTATGAAGAAATTGTCATTCCCTGAGGGACACTCAGAGGAATAACCAGCCCAAGATTCTTTACAGGAATTCTACGTGGAAAGTGTTCACTTGGATTAATAAGCCCCTTTGGTTAAAAGGCAATTATATGAAGGAATGTAAATATATTGGGCTTTCAGTCATTCACACTTCAATATGAATTAGATCAATCATAATGTTTTCTTCTAACCAACTAGATGAGCTAAGTGTCTCTCAGGAAATGAGACTGTTGATGGCAAAAAGGGAGCAGAGGGCATTACCTAGCAGAGGGTCAGGTGGGACAGTGCAGGAGGAAGTATTTGGAAACAAGTTGGGGCTACATTCAGAAGCAGAGATACAGAGAACAGGAAAGGGGAGGGGACAGAGAAAGGGGAAAGAGGAATGCATTAATGAAAATTTTATTTTATTTTGTTTTGCCTCTTTGTCAAAGGAGAAGGGGTCAAGGCCCAATCTGCAATCTCAATAATAAATTATCGCTTTTCTCTCAGAGAAGAGGAGACAGGGAAAAGAAAAGGACATTCCTCTCTTTTCCAAGAATGAGGAACCACTCTGCTGAGAAAGTTTGCTTTGGTATTCATAGCAACACTGGAAGTTTGTTGTTCGGTTTTAAACCTCAGAAACTTGCATAACTGGGCCAACACCAGCCATGCCAGGAACTGGTACAGGGTAGGTCTGTCTTGCCCAGACCGTCCAGGGAATGACTATATTAAAATTCTGCTCTTGCATAATATGTTTCACAGAAATTTTAATCATAGGAAATGAAACTGACTGCTGCAAAGGACCTGAACTTCCTATGGACACTGCCTCCTGCCAAGTACATGGCTATCCTCTCCAGACTCAGAGAGGTAGGGGTGGCAGAGGGAGGGTGGGAAGAAAGCAGTAACCAGCAAGTGCCTACTAGGGACCAGGCATGTGGTTTTGAACAATCAGTGTTTATTCAGCATGCCCTTTGGTCAGGCATGGTGATAGTTGCTGGGGTTAACAGCAACAAAGTCCTGGTCTTTGCCCTGAAGAAGCTCACAGTCTAGTGGGGAAGAAAGAAGTTGAACAAGTAATTCCAAGGGGGCAACATGAGCAGCACTGCAGGCATGAGGCAGAAGGCTCTTAGCATCCCCAGGAAATAACTTATCCCTGTTTAGTAGATGGGCCACCCAAGGCTCAGAGAGATCAGACAAGCAAGCAAGAGTGTCGTCAGAGAGTGAACGTCAGACATCTTCTTCCCAAGCCTGTGTTCTTTCTACCAGCTAAGTGAAGGGTCTACCGTGTGCATGTTGCCAGGGTAAGGGCTTGAATAACAATCTAGGCTTTTCAAATTGTCTCCTGCCTTCAAAGGGTGAAGAGGTAAATAGATATATTTACCATGAATGGTAGAGTAGAAAGCCACGGGAAACTGTGGCCTCCCCCTTACTAGGTGGTTAGTCTTGAGTATGTCATTCAGTGTTTCTGGGCCTCAGTTTCTTGGGAATGTCACCTTTTTAGAGGGTTGTTTAAAAGATGAGATTAGATAGTAGAGGTGAAAAGTGGTCTGACTGAAGTTGTCTGTCTGACTAAAGCTGAAGTAGTCCAAAATCCAAACTCTGAAGCCTGGAGTCTGAAATCTGGGGTCTGGGGTCTGAGGTCTGAAGTCAGAGGTCTGGTCTGGAGTCTGAAATCTGAAGTCTGGTCTGGAGTCTGAAGTCTGGAGTCTGAATTCTAAAGTCTGAAATCTGGGTCTGGAGTCTGAAGTCTGTTCTGGAGTCTGAAGTCTGGAGTGAGTCTGAAGTTCGAAGTCTGTTCTGGAGTCTAAAAGTCTATTGTCTGGAGTGTGGAGGCTGTAGTCTGTTGTTTGAAGTGTGGAGACTGGAGTCTGTTGTCTAGAGTTTGTTGTCTGAAGTGTACAATCTGGAGTCTGAAGTCTGAAGCTGGAGTCTAAAAGTCTGTTGTCTGGAGTGTGAAGTCTGTTGTCTAAAGTCTGGAGTCTGAAATGTGGAGTCTGAGGTCTGAAGTAGTCTAACTAAAACTGAAATAGTCTTTAAACTAAAAACTATCATTCTCGTGCTTATTGGTACGATTGTTATACAGTTGAATACAGTGTTGGTAAAAAAGGAGAAGCAGAAAGAATGTAGATTAAACTTTGTTGATTCCCATCTTGCCTTTCCTTCTGCTGGAGCCACTTCAGATGTTTTGATTTCTTAATCTAAGTAGAGAGCAGCTTTAACTTGCTTTGAAAACATATGTTATTCTGCATAGCAAAGGAAAAAAATTAACAAAATAAAAAGAACCTATAGAGGGGGGTAAGGAGGAGGTGGGGGTGGGGATGGTTAATGGGTACTTAAAAAAATAGTTAGAAAAAATGAATAAGACCTACTATTTGATAATTTAATTGTACATTTTAAAATAACTAAGAGTATAATTGTATCATAAGACAAAAGATAAATGCTTGAGGGGATGGATACCTCATTTTCTGTGACACAATTTGCGTATATCAAAACATCTCACACACCCCATAAATATACACACCTACTATGTACCCACAAAAATTAAAACAAAATTTTAAACTTTGTAGTAAAATTAAAAAAAGAACCTATAGAATGGGAGAAAATTTGTAAACTATACATATAATAAATGGTTACTATCCAAAATACATAAAAAATTCATACAATTCAATAGCAAAAAAACAAATAACTGGATTTTAAAGTGGGGAAAGAATCTGAATAGACATTTTCCCAAAGAAGATATACAAATGGCCAACAGGTATATACAAAGGTGTTCTACATCACTAATCATCAGGGCAATGCAAATCAAAACCACAATAAAATGTCACCTCACACTTGTTAGGATGGCTAGTACCAAAAGGCCAAAAGATAAGTGTTGACAAGGATGTGGAGAAAGGGAACTGTTACACATTATTGGTGGGAATGTAAATTGGTATAGCCATCATGGAAAACAATATGGAGGGTCCTCAAAATATTCAAACTAGAACCACCATATGATCTAGCAATCCCTCTTCTAGGCATATACCCAGGGAAAATGAAATCAGCATATCAAAGAGCTGTCTACACTCCTATGTTTATTGCAGCATTATTCACAATAGCCAAGATACAGAATCAATGTAAGTGTCCATCAATGAATGAATGGATAAAGAAACGTAGTGTATACATACACAATGAAATACTATTCAGCCTCAAAAAAATAAGGAAATCTTGCAATTTGCAGCAACATAGATGAACCAGTAGGACATTATGCTAAGTAAAATAAGCCAGTCACAGAAAGACAAATACCGCATAATCTCACTTACATGTGGAATCTAAAAAAAGCCAGACTCATAAAAACAGAGTAGAACAGTGGCCACTAGGAATGGTGGAAACGGGGACATTGGTCAAAGGGTACAAACTTTCAGTTATAAGATAAATAAATTCTGAAGACCTAACGTACAGCATGGTGAGTGTATAGTAATAATATATTGCATACTTGATATACTTGAAATACTTGATATTTGCTGAGAGTAAATCTTAAGTGTTCTCACTATGTGTGTGCGTGCACACACACACACAAATGTAATGTGAGATAATGGATATGTTTATTAGCTTAATTGTGGTAATCATTTCACAATGTATACATATATCAAAACATGTTGTACACTTTAAATATATACAATTTTTGTCAGTCATACCTCAATAAGCTAAAAATTTTTAAAGCATTTTTAAAAATGATTGAAGAGGTAACTTGCAATAAGAGTTATGAAAGTGCTGAATGCTTCTGTACTTCAGAAGCATCACAGAAATGCAGATCATGCTATCATGTGTATATTTTATATGACTGAGTCTGCTTTCTATCTAAACATTACTCCACCTAGTACTTTGTGTACGCAATATCATCCTGAGCTTTGGGTATTCCCAGTTTTCCAGACTCTTCTGGGCTATGGAAAGGCATAGTCATAGCTATACTTAACTGCCCTATTATGCCTTTGGAAACATGGGAATATAAAAATAAATAAATAAAATAAAATAAAAGAGAGTCTCAGGGTCACAGAATGTGTAACAGGAGAGGTTCCGAAAGCAGGGCTAGTCTGCAGGGTAGGATCGCATGGAGAAGTGAAGAATGAGGACTTTCCAGACACCTTGATGGGAGGTCCCAGATCCCACAGGGGCTTAGAATCAGTGACTTCCTGTTTCAAGCACCCAGGAAATTGCAAAGTGACCAAGGCAAGGAAATACGCAAAGCTCAGCTTCCAATTTTTGCTAGTGCAGTCTTTTCTGCCACACCACACATTGCTGTGCATTGTTCATTGTCCAGTCGTTCATCCGTTGAATTTCCATGAAGTCACTTCCGTGGGCCAGATACTGTGCAAAGTGTGTACAGGGGGTGGGGAGGCGGGGGGGTAGGTATAATTCAGGAAGGGACATGAAGTGCTCGTATCAGTAATTATGCCAAAAGCAGGATGCCCAGAGGGAATGATGACTAAGAGAGCTGGGAGTCCTTCCTGAGGA